TCATTGGAAGGATTAATGCTGAAACTGAAGCTCCAATACTTTGGCTACCTGATGCAAAAAGCTGACTCAATAGAGAGACCTTGATTCTGGGAAATGTTGAAGGCAAAAGAAGGGGCCAACAGAGGATGAGATGGTTGGATGGCATCACGAACTCAATGGACATGATTTTGAGTAAGCTCCGAGAGTTGGTGATGGACAGGGAAGCCTGGTGTGCTGCAGTCCATGGGGTCTCAAAGAGTCAGGACATGACTGAACTGAACTGAGTCTTACACAAGCACATCTGCTCAGCAAAAGCTATGTGACACAGGAAATCCTAGTGACAAGGAGATCTGAGAATTGGAGAGTTTACTGCTGCAGTTTCAGTGTACAGGAGGCACATTGCAACAGGGTTGCAGACGTGTAGAGTGAGCAATCTTTACTACTGGTCATAGTTGCTACCTGGTATCCATTTCACCCTTTTTCCTTCTTAAAAAGCTGATTTTGTTCCAATATCCACTGTTTATACGCATAAACTGAAGAACTCAGGAGACTTTGCTGCTGCTGCTGCTAAGTCGCTTCAGTCGTGTCCGACAATGTGCGACCCCACCGACGGCAGCCCACCAGGCTCCCCCGTCCCTGGGATTCTCCAGGCAAGAACACTGGAGTGGGTTGCCNAACACTGGCGTGGGTTGCCGTTTCCTTCTCCAATGCATGAAAGTGAAAAGTGCAAGTGAAGTCGCTCAGTCGTGTCCGACCCTCCGCGACCCCATGGACTGCAGTCTACCAGGCTCCTCCGCCCATGGGATTCTCCAGGCAAGAGTACTGGAGTGGGGTGCCATTGCCTACCCCCATTTTAAGTTCCAGGGCAATTTATGAGTAGTATAAGATGAATATGTAAATCCTATGCCTTCATAGATGATTGATTTACAAATTTAGGTTTAAACGGATACGCAGAAGCATTCCCCTGCTGGCTGTTATAAGTTCAGAGGTAGGCAGGGGACCTAAATTGTCATAACCACACTTTAATGATTGAGAAGAGAGGCTATGCTGTTCCTTTGTGTTAAGAGCAAAGAACATTTTGCCTAAGGTGCTTCAGGCTGCAATTTTAAAGATAGCTGTAAAACTAGGCAGCCTAAGCATAACGACGACAACTGGTGAAACTTCTATAGAAATAGAAATTTCTATTCTTGCTTCGCATTGTTGGTGATCCCAGTTAGACTTAAAACTGGCCCGTACAGGGGTCGAACCCGCGACCTTGGTGTTATTAGCACCACACTCTAACCAACTGAGCTAACCTGCCCTCATGCAAACTGCTGCTCTTCCTTAATGTTTTAATTGCATTGACCTTCTAGAATTTATCACAAAGGGGAATATCAGTCCTATTTATACTGGGTCCGCTTCTGTTAAGGGGAAACAAAAGAAAAATGTCTATCAAGGTCAAGAATGAATCTTGCCTTTCAGAACATACCTTCTTGGAACCAATGCAAATGCATATTGTAATGCAAACTCTTTTGTAACAAGTACAAAAACCATTTTTAATGAAAATGGCAAATTGGAACATTTGATAGTAAGGACTTTGATATATTTGCATCTTGGAGACCACAGTAAAAGATGGTAAGACAAGGGTAAAGAGTCTTTCTACCTGCAGACTCTGGAAATGAGAAGAATAAGTGCTTGGAAGAAAATCCATCCATCCAAACACCCACTCATCCATCCCTGAGCAAAAATTAAAAGCTTCTTTCCAAGAGCAAATAATGGAAATATAATGCTAGTGATAAATGAAAGGTATATAACCTTAATAATAAACTAGAAAAAAACTCAATGTGAAAAAGCTCTAAATGAACCCACGGAATAGTAATGAATAAAGCTTCCATGAACAAATGAGGAACTGGGTCTGAGGTGGGAAAAAAATGAGCTGATGCTTAGGACAGGTAGAAAAAAATATACATTGAATTTGAGAATGAAAGTGGTGTTGTGAGAATGAAATGGACTTGCTTTTTAAGGTTGCTATGCAATACTTCAATTCCAGTTTTTCAGTACTTTCTATTTAGACATCACAGGTGTAAATAAAATCTTATTTAGCCATTATTGCGGACCAAAGACTATTTATGTGCTTTAAATGAATTAACATATTTAAACATAACACCTAATTTATGAGGTGAATGTTACAATCATCCTCGTTTTACAAATAACTGAGGACAGAGTTTAGAGTCAGCGTTCTGATCATTTAACCCTAGAGAACTTCCTTTTCATTGTCACTAAACTGCTCCTTAAAATCGGTGTTGATCATTTTTTTAGTGGATGGCCATATTCTGAGGACCCTCCTATTCAAAAAACCAAGTTTATAGCATCTTGATTTATACCCCAGGATATTAATTGCTTCAATTTTCAATTAATATTAATCTCAGCTCTAATATTGAATATGTAACATGGATCTGAAAACTCCTATCCCAGGTAAGGAAAACTCTGAGCATCAGCCACGTGCACTATATTATTATGGCAGGGCAATTCTTTCTAGCAATTTTACTGTATTATTTAGTGATTCACTTCCTTTTCTT